TGCCATCCAAGACCAGGTTCTCGACAACATCACTTTCCTCGAGTTCGACGACAAGAACTTTAGCGTTCTCAAGGATGCCATTGAGCGCTGCCGTGTGGTCAAGGACGACTACGAGGTTGCCCTCACCAGAAAGGCCAACCATGTCTCGACAATTGGTCACCATGCCGTTGTCAAGGCTGTCAAGAATGCCAAGAACGAGAGGGAACTGGAGGCCTTGTTCCTGCAGCACAGCGTCGCGAATGGTGCCAAAAACCAGGCTTACCACGGCATCTTTGCTGGAGGTCGCGCAGCTGCCACTCTGCACTATGTCGCCAACGATGCGCCTCTAGAAGGAAAGCTGAACCTTCTTCTTGATGCTGGCACGGAATGGAACTGCTACGCATCTGACATTGTGAGTAAAGTGTCTAGCATAACAGTGCCTCTATAAACGCGCAACTAATATTGACTAGACCCGCACATTCCCCATTTCCGGCAAGTTCAGTAAGGAGTCTCGTCAAATCTACGACACCGTATTGAAGATGCAGCTCGAGACAACTGCTGCATTGAAGGAGGGCGTTGTCTGGGATGACATTCATCTGCTGGCGCACAAGATTGCCATCGATGGCCTCCACGCTATCGGCATTCTCAAGGGAGACAAGGACGAGATCCTCAAGAGCAGGACAAGTGTCGCTTTCTTCCCCCACGGCCTCGGCCATTACCTGGGCATGGACACCCACGACGTCGGTGGCAACCCCAACTACGCCGATACAGACCCCATGTTCCGGTACCTGCGTGTCAGAGGCCAGATCCCTGCCGGCAGCATCGTCACTGTCGAGCCGGGTATTTACTTCTGCAGCTTCATCATTGAGCCGTACCTCAAGGACCCCGTTCACTCCAAGTTCATTGACCAAGCCGTCCTGGACAAGTACTGGGATGTTGGTGGTGTGAGGTGAGTTAGGCCCTGATCCCGGTGCTCTCAGCTGTAAAGGTGTGCTAATTTGTTTGCAGAATCGAGGACAACATTCTCATCACCAAGGACGGCAGTGAGAACCTGACGCCCACCATCAAGGACCCTGATGAATTGGAGAAGATTATCCAGGCGAGCTAAAGGGGCGTCATGAACGACCCGGCCGTAGAAAATAAAGGACCGAATAACAATCCCACTGTGATGCATCGGCCAAAATGTGCTGGTTGGACCTGGCTATGCCCGACAGTGATTTTCCACGTAGACGCACGTGCTTGTTCATGCCCCTTCAGTTAGGGCTAAGAGACTGAAGCCAATATCGTCTCCTCCTTGCTGAATGAAGTTCCTGACAATGTCTACAGATTTTGGTCCGAGATCCACCTTTTCCTCTTCGTCTGGGATCCCTCTGTCCACCGGGCCTTTACGATCTCCGTCCAGCTCGTAGAGGTGGCCAGTGTCTGGTGATTTAACGAAGCAGATATAGTGGAAGTAGACTTCGTCCTCTGCACTTTGCGGTGCCGCTGTGTCGCCCTTTGTCGCGATAGCAGCGTACGCATCCTCGAGTTCTGTTGAGCTTTCTAGCACCATGGCGGCCTGGGCTGGGTCCATGGGCGCTGTGATGGACAGGAGGTTGTCTAACAACGATCCCGGCGCTGAATCTTGTCAGTCTTTTGGGGGCTTTTGGTTAGGGGTCGAGAGGAAAGTCATGGCAACTCACTCAGAAAGTCTTTGGCCCGGCCGTTTGCCAAAGCATGCAAAACAGCATACAAACCACAGGCATTATTGATAGTCTGCTTAAACCACACCGCATCCTCGTCCTCCTCATCGTGTTCCACCATCCAGTCCTTTGCGCCGGCGTCCTCGGCCGTCAGCCGCGCTTCATAGGTTGGCGTTGTAGGGAAGACAAGAACGAGGGCGAGGATCTTGGGTGGGAGGAAGGCCGGATCGTCGAGGGCGAAGACGTCTTGGAAGTGGAGGTCAGGTGAGGCGCCAAGGGCGGCGATGAGTTCGTTGAAGACTTGGGGGTTGGATTCGAGGGGGATGAAGGCTTTGTTGTACGTTTGGGGCATTTTGAGGGTGAGGGCGTGGAGGGACGAGTGGTTTGGGCAGGTTTGGGTTGTTGTGAAGAGGCTTGAGATTAGTATCAGTAGTGGGATGATGATCATCAAAATGGATGAGATTGAATCATGGATAGTTCGCCTTTTTACAATTGATACTCTGATCGATCCGAAAAGTTGAGATGAAGTGAGTACCAACCAGATATTTGAGATGAGGGAGAGGATGAGAGACAGGGGTGTAATTGAGGTGAGGTTTCGCTTCTACAGGTACCCGCACGGGTTACCAAGCTAGCGGTGGTGGCTGACTGAGCGCTGGAAATCGCTGACTTGGGGTTCACATACCCCGCCACACCTCATTTGTCATCTCATAACCTCATCTCAGGAATGGGGGATTGTTGGTATCGCGGACATGTGCAAGAGTCTTACAATAGCATCGAAAAGCATTCAGCAACAATCATGGAACTCGACAGTAGGTGTAAGTCTCTACAAGATACTGTCATGAGATGTTCGAGTCAAGGTAAGGTAGGTAGGTACCTTAGGTACCCACGCGTTGAAGGCCAAGCTTTTGCGGTTCCAGTTTTCTCATCTAGATCTCAATGAATCCCGCCAGTAACTCGATCTTACCATTATGCTGCAGCTAAGGTGTCTTGCACAAGCTTCACGTTCACGGTCTTATGTCTCTCTGTATAAAGAGCAACAAACAGTAAAGAAATGTTTTGCGGACTCGAGGTAAGCACTCGAGCACCTAAGCAGTACTTCACCCGGAACCAAAGGCCGGCGGCCGCCGTCGGCTCGGAGCGGCCCCATTCTCAGTAGCCCCCGCATGGCCGATAAGATAGCGCCTGAAAGATGGAGGGGTCATGAGGGGTCCTGTCGGTCACTCGCCCAGCCATGAGACGAATCTGCCACTCCAGCGCATTACCGCTGTGAGCAGGTATTTTCGCGCTATCTGTGCCTCTCCCACTACTTGCCTTTTGTAGGTAGCTCTAATTGATGTTCAATGTGTTGTGAGGGTACAGAGGGTGGGGGAGCTCACCCGCCGTGAGGGGACCAGAGGGGCCGGAGGGCCGCCCGTTCACGAGCTGTTTCCCGCCGGCTGGGCACTCCGTCTCAAAGTCAACCTCCTCACAAACATCCGTCTCATTGACTTTTCACATTTTATTTTTCCTAGATCGTAGAGCTTTTTAGAAATCCCACAACCACCTCTGCCAAAGACCACACAGACCACGGTCACTATCGTGACCCCACAAACCACCACGATGGCGCGCTTCCGCGTCCCCTTCGCCAACCTCCCCATCCCGCCAGCCCTCCGCGTCCTCCCGGCGCCGACCATCCGCATCATCACTCTCCTCGTCACAATCAACATCATAATATGGATCGTTACCGGCATCATCCTACACTTTCACCCTTCCCTCATCTCCCCAGCAGCCCTCTCCTACGTCCTCGGCCTCCGCCACGCCCTCGACGCGGACCACATCTCCGCCATTGACCTCATGACCCGCCGCCTCATCGCCTCCGGCCAGCGTCCTGTGACGGTGGGAACCTTCTTCTCGCTAGGCCACAGCACAATCGTCATCGTCACCTGCGTCGTCGTAGCTGCCACGAGCGGCGCGCTGCGGGACCGCTTCGACGGCTTCACGCGCGTGGGGAATATCATCGGCACGAGCGTCAGCGCGGCATTCCTGCTGCTTCTTTGTGCCGGGAACGGGTGGGTGCTGTATAAACTCATCCGGAGGCTGAAGGCCGTGCTGGAGGAGGAGAGACGACGCGGGTTGGAGGGGTACACGCCTACCGAGGAGGACGAGGGCGATGCGGCGACAGATCTCAAGTTGGAGGGCGAGGGGTTCCTGGCGAATGTGTTTAGAAAGATTTTCCGTGTCGTTGACCGGCCTTGGAAGATGTTTCCTTTGGGGATTCTATTTGGTTTGGGTTTTGATACGAGTTCCGAGATTGCTATTCTCGGGTTGTCGAGTGTGCATGGTGCGCAGGGGACGAGTATCTGGCTCATTCTCATCTTTCCCGTTCTTTTCACAGGCGAGTTTGCATGTCATATTTCAAGTACATTGACTGACTCCTAGTAGCCGGCATGTGCATGCTTGACACAACGGACGGCGCCCTCATGATGGCCCTCTACACCTCAAAAGCCTTCTCGCGCGACCGCGTCGCCATCCTCTACTACTCCATCGTCCTCACAGGCATCACAGTCTTCGTCTCGGCCTTTATCGGAATCATCCAGGTACTGTCTCTCATCGCCAACGTCGCCGAGCCCGAAGGTAGTTTCTGGGATGGCGTCGATGCGATCGGAGAGCACTTTGACATCATTGGCGGCAGCATCTGCGGCCTCTTCGTCGTTGTCGGGCTCGGTTCGGTAGTGGTGTATCGACCCTGGAGGAAGAGTATCGACAAGAAGAATCAGGAGAGAGCTGTGATCGTGTCTGCAGAGGAGAGAGGATTGGGGACGGGTGAAGGGCCGAGTTACGGTGCCGTTGAGCCCGGCGAGCCTATCTTGAAGAAGGGCGTTATGACAACTGAGAGTGATGTGCAACAGTAGACATTTCGATTCTACTAAGTTTATCCGCCATGGCGTGGGGAATTTGTTGAACTGTAGATGACTTCACGTATGTCAAGAGTCACTATAAAAGGTCAAGTATATGGATGGGTCATTGCGTGGCATGACAATATAAGGTACCTATACACACTAATTCATACAGGCGGCTCAGTATCGCCGATATGCCCGTCTAAACGACATGTACTTCGTTTCTGTCCGTTTCTCTCATATACGTTCCATGATGCTCATTACTCCTCTGTATTGCGGTTGCGCCTGGCTTGAGCCGCCCAAGTCGCCCGTCTGAAGCTACCCAGAAGCTTTGCCCAAGAAGCCGCTAAATCTCTTCAATTCAGTTTCGTGCTTGCGAGGCTGGCGCTGTTGGTGGGACTGGTGACTGCGATTACTGATGTTGCTGCTGTTGGAAATTGCAGACCTGAGGTATTGGGGAGTCTCAGACTGACACCTGCCCATGGCAATCACCAAGGAGTCCGCGCCTCCGACATAATTCCCTCAGACTGACCGCCTTGTACCCCTCCAGGTAATCCGCAAGTCGCGTCGTAGCTGAAGCCAACATCCGCTCCGTCGAGAGCTGGTGCCTCTCTTCCAGCCAGAGCAGGTAACAGGGCCTCTTCTCAATCTTCATCTCGAGGCCTGCCCGAAGACGCCGCACCATCTCCACCTCATCCTCGTACCTCTTCTGTACTAAATTTGCCTTCTCTTCTGCCGCACAAGACACGCCCATCTCGTTACGCCAGACGCCAGCTCGTTCAGCCGCTTGAAGAAGGCCGTTCTGGGTACCCGATGGGGGAAGCGGCTCGCTAGTGGCGACAAGCTCGTTGATCGGCTTCTTGAGGGGCTCCCAGGCCTCTTGATCTTCTGCAAGCGCTTTTTGAAGCCGGATACTCGGACCACGATCCAACGATGGAGCTCGAGCTGATGTGTTGACGTGGCTGACGTCCCCAGACTCAACTGGCGTATTATGGGGAGGAATCAAGCCCTCTTTGCAGGAGTCCTCATCCTGTCTCGACCAGTCATCGAGTCTACTGAACCATTGAGAGGAGGATTCAGCTGTTTGCTCAGCAAGCTCTCTGTTTGAGCTGCCGGGTACGTCGGCCTGGTGCACAAAATTCTCGTGCAGTATCCTGCTCGCCTGGCTGTATTCGTAGTCCAAGTCGAACAATAGGCTGGCCATGGGCGAAACAACGTATGTTCCCTTGGGAGCACTGGAATACCCAAGGATGGCTGGCTGAATTATGGGACCTGGATCGCAGATTTCTTCGCTAGCCAAGAAGTCGTTTGTATCTAAGGCGTTCGGATGGAGAATACCCATTTCTTTAGCTATGGTCTCCAGATCTTCCACGAAGCTAGCTCCAGGATTCCCATTAAGGTGGACTGGTTCCGGCTGGACGATGTCTTGCTGGTTGTAAGCCACCTGAAGAGGAGTGACAGATCTCTGCTGCTCCTCCATATGGTGCTTTCGTCTTTCGAGAGTGCTAAATTTGATGTGTGCTAAAACCGCACGTCGCCAGACCGGACGACTGGGTTTGCGCTCAGCTTCCCCGTTGGTTGACATTGTGTGATAGATAGAGAGAAGGGTAAGATTGTATGAGTGTAAGAGTTCGATTCAGGGAAATTGAGTGTGGTGAAGCGGTTGTGTACTCAAAACTGACAAGTCTTTGGCAAGAGAGAATGGGTTGCAGGATCGAGGGAGAGGCTGTGCTTTCTACTCCTAGAGAGGATGAGAGATGGGATGTTATGAAATCTCCGGAACCCATCTCCGATTACAATAACACAGACCCATCTCCGATCGTTACGAGATGTATACCTTTAACTTTAGAGTTCCGTCAAAAGATAGCTGTCTGGTCGTGGAGTTGGTGGCCGTACAATTACGATTAGAGCTATCTCCGATGACTAGAACAATCACACCCCTCGAGCATCATAAGTTCTTCTTATAGAGAGCCCATAGAGGGAGATGAGCTCGTTCATGGACAGAAAATTGGAGCGTTTGAGAGACCAGAGTGTTGCAGTTTGGCGTTTCTAGATGGCCAGGCTCTGGCCCAACAGCTGGGGTCCATGAGATGAGGCACCAGAATCAACCGCCATGAGATTGAACTTCGATACCAGACTGCCGGAGATAGACAATTTGAATGTAAAGTTAGCGTCACCAAATAATCAAGACTGTAGCTGCATCGAGTCTATAGACCATAGAAACCTTCGCTCGAAGCCCTTTGTGCGCCGGTTTAACAAGACACGGGTTTCCCGCTAACTAATAGACGACCATCCAGGTAAGTGTGAACGACAACAGAATACATGGCATGAAAAATTAGCACTCAAAACGATGCGGAGCATTGCCAGCAAAACCGGCTCCGGCGCACCAATTTGGACATATATGGAACATACTTTTGCGGAACGCTCAGCCTTATACCTTGATAAGCGGCTTAACGCCGACAAAGCATGGCATCAATAACGGCAAGAAACTTGAGAAATACAATTGAGAATAAACCTGAGGACAGTGAAAATGGTACTATGGAATTGGTTCACGATTCTATTGATTAGGGGTAAAGTCTAGTAGTAATTGGTTATATATGCCTACAGTGCTTCAGGTAATGGTAAGTGACCATGGCAAGTCTTCTTAACCAACTAGATCGAGGAACTCTTCACTGAAGAGCTTGATTAACCTGGTTTGACGGCTTCAAGTATATTGGGTGTCTCGCTACCAAGCATTTGCAGCAGTGGCTGCGTTGACTGGTAATTAATTCCCTGAACTCCATTATAAGGTACCTACTAAAAGACAGTGACAGTTGCGTCAATGAAAGTTGGTAACCATAGTTCCTCTGTACTACATGGAATTCTTATTGCGCGGATGCGCGAAGTACAATCCAGTCCACTTGGCCAAGGAGGTGAATATAAGCTGGATGTTCCGGTTCAGATCTCTGCGACCCCATTATTGGAAGTGGGCGCATGCTTAAAACATAGTAGCGAACAACTACCGCACAAAGTCCTTTTCAGCAAGTAAATGATGGGGAGGCGGACGCATGTCAGAAAAACTCGTGCAAAAGACGTGCTTGGATGGCATGATGGGAGGCGGGAACGTGGGAACGCCAGAAGAGCATGGAACTGCGGGATCGGAGGAAACGGTGAAGTCGGTGAGGCAACGGATGTCGTCCGACAAGGGGCACTCGGTCCAGACCTTGACCCAAAGCGGCAAGTTCCCGAAGCCGGCGAGTCGGTGTGCAAGTACATGCCTCTAATGCTCTGAGGAATACCTAGGCAATGCGACGGATTTTGGCGTCAAGTTCGGTACGACGCTACCACGGTATGCGAAAGCCGTTTCTAAATCAACCCTTTTCCTTTTCCTCGGTGTCTCAACGTATTCGGAACGGCTATTCCGTAGCACGGCCTGGGTCTTGTTGCCACTGGCGTGTTTCCGGTGCTTTGGACGATCAGGGTCCATCCACACCGACTCAGGGTCCTCAGCCAAAAGTGGCTGGCACTGGGTGGGTGGGTGTGATTAGTTCCCTGGTCCCCTTTTTCCTCTCTGTCTTTGGTTGCATTTTCTGCCTTCCGTTTTCCCGTCCATGCTCCTGGCCAGAGTAACACGAATCAGTCTGGGTCCTTCGTGGTCTCATCTGATGTCGTTGGCCGCTGTGTCGGTCCCTGTGCCTTGAGTACCTCTACCCGAGATAGGGAATCGCCTTACCAATGGCCTAGCGGCACGGTGCGTTGTTCGCGCAATAATGAGGCCCCCTTAGGCTGCTGGAGAGGGGCACGATAGGGAGGTCAGGTGCATGCTCTCGCGAGAAACATTGACAGACTAACCAGCGTCGAGTCTTATGTATGGTCGCCCTCAATTATACGTTGGTGGTGACTGCGATAGACGAGCTGTCAGTATTGCCGAAGTGCATACTATCTGTAGTCTGTAGCCATGCAGTGTATTGCTTTGGGCCAGAACGGGACGGGATACCGGAGCCGGCATTGGGTTTGCGCCAACATCGGCTCGGACGCATGCGGTGTCTCCCGGTTCTCGCACCAGACGAATGGCAAGAAGCCATGTCAAACAAGGCGGACGATATGTTACTGAAGCCGGGAATCTTGTTGAAGCTTGGACGAGAGAGCACCACGCACCATGCAGTGCTGCAAAGCGGCACACTGTGACTGTTGGCATACTTGAATCTGGTCGGATGCTGCTTGTGACAAGTGATATGAGGCGCGATGGGGCAGATTTAGTGGAGGAACATGGCCCTTGCCACCTCCTGCATTGCGCATCTGTATCCGTACATAGAATGTCACAGTGCTCAGGCCAGCAACATGCTATGCCGTTGTTGGGGTCTCGTACAGGAGGCTGGAAATGCTGCTGCATGAACCTCAGCCATGGCACAGATTGAGATGGGTATCGCACCTCGTCGTCGCCTCGATATCCCCGGATTCCATTATCAATCCTTCTCGCGCTTCGTGCATGTGTGACTTGTCGCTTTCCCCTGCACCGCCGCAAGCCAGTGGAGGAACCCAGCAACAGCGTTCACTAGTGGCAATGTGGGCCTAGAGCGGATGTGGTAGGAGGGCGCGGTGTTCGGGGGCGGGCTGGAGGTACAGTATCTTGGGTTATCGTGCTGCGATGATCTATCTTTATCCGTCCAAAGTCGGGGTAGAAATCGCCAGGGTCTATTCCGTAGCTCTTGAATGTTTCGAGGCAACTTGATAAGAGGGAAATGTTCGTTGATCCCTATGGAGTCGGGAGTCGAGTGTCCCCATGCGTGAGTTGAAGTGGAAAAAGGTCAAAGTGTATCTGATCAATTGCGGGATGATTAAGGGTCTGGCAAGCGTCGATTGCTGCAACGTCGTCCAGATATGGTATACGAGAGTGTGCCAGCGTACAGAAATTCCGTTCGGGGCGAGTTTGTAGGGTTGCTTGCGTACGGCTGAAGCCGAGCCTCTCTGCGGTTGTCACACATCGCGGGGTCATCAAGAGGCAGCCCGATCGGAAACCACCATAGTCAACGGTGGTCTGGCTGTGCTGAGAGATTGGCCTGCTTCTTCACCAGGTTAAGCAATGTCGTTGCCTAAGCTGTCCATCAGGGTTTATATCGCGCCGACCAATGAATCTCGTCAACCATGAATTGAGTTAGACGATGGAACACCATGCCAGGCAGTCGTGAGGCAGTCAGCCTGGACGTTTGCCCCCAATGGCATGCTGGGAATGCCCTCATGCTGAAGTATTGAGATTGTTGATCGAGTGTGAATCAAGAATTGATTGCCACCGTGGAGCTTGAACCCTGGCTGAACCCCGGGGTACCAAGGTAGGCCGGCCGTGCGAATAGTGTACCTACAACATTGCCCCAAATTCCAACGGCAAGGTCGGATGGGGGATAGCAACCGGAGCGGATCTTGGTTGGCGGTGTTGGTGGTAGTAGGTATCCGCAAGCTCGCCCACCTCGTCCGACGAACACAAACACAAAGCGTAAAAGACAAACGGGACCAGGCCTGTCAGACGCGGCTGATGATGGGCACGCGGGATGTCTATCCGTAGAAGCTCTTGCATATCTGTACCATTGCCTGCCGGGTAGATGTGTGACACAATCCAGGGGTGGTGTTGTTGAAGAAGAAGGTTAGTGACCGAATGTCGGAAGCATAATGCAGTGTGGCCTTTTGCCTCAAATGGATGGAAATGAATTGAAGCAGATGACGAAAGATGGAGGGTGGGTGGGTTGGTGATTGACAATGGAAGTTCTGAATTGCCTCACGGAGGAAAAGGATCGGACAGAAGAGCGAGGAAGGAACAAAAGGCAGGAGCTTGAGGAGGTTCGCGCATGCCGAAAATCAAAGGAGCGCCAACGGTGCCTCGTCCATCTTGGGCCAATTTGAGACGATTAGGAACCTTATCCGCCTCGCCTGGGCGGCCTTATCGGTATCAGCAGCAGACCTAAGCCAATCAGAGCTGTTGCATAGCTACCTTCGGCGTCGTCAAGACCCTGAAGCGGCACCAACTAAATTCTTATCGCAGGGTGCTGAAGGCTCCCGACCACGCACCCACGGCGCTAACGACTCTGCAGTGTCCCTTGGAGTGCAGTGCATGACACGATTGGGGGTCCAACGCAAGATACGTACCTGATCCATGTACCTCTCACCCCACACAAGCTGTACCGATACCTCCACCCTCCACCAGTCCCGTTCTCCCCGATTCTCCCATCCCTCCAACTTCCCTCCTCAACCACAGCCGTGCGCGCCGTTCTTTGTCTCTGTCCAAGACATCCACGCAACTCCCCTTCCGTCTTCTACCGTGGCACCAACAAAATGGAAGAAATCTGACGCCCTTCGATCCGAAGTACTGCCTTCTGGAACCCTGAAATCGACCGGCTTGACGCCAATTAGACCCCTGCCCCACTCAATGCCCGGTGCTCGACCTCCAAGGATGGACGAATTGAGTGATACGGGGAAACAGGGGGAAGCAATCACGACAATCACCACAAGCCACGCCGGCCTGCTTGTCCTTTTACCGGGGCCCTTGATGTCGCCAACCTACCGAGGCCAATGGCGACAATGGATGCGGTTCCTCGACTTCCGACTCGATGCCTT